GGGCCGGATGGTAGGATGCTGAACGTTCGCGTGCCAGCACCTACCAAATGTCATTCAAACGAAAATTTTATCGAACGTCTCGTGTCAAACGTGCAGCTGAACGTCTATTGTCAGACCGTAATGCCCGATACCTGGGTCTTCGCGGGCCAGAGGGAGGGCTTCCGCGGGCCAGATCTGGCCCGCGGGCCGCCAGTTACCGACCACTGCTCGATAGACTACCGATATTTCACATGTCCCTTGCAGTGATGTCAATAGTAGTTTAGAGACCCAGATGGGAAGGCATTGAAGAATGCATATTTAAACTTCAACCTTCTGTCCATATTCGGCTACCGCAGACAGGTAGGGTGCTGTATGGCACAGAAAATGGAGGGCGTGAAAGATGCACTTCTTTCTAAGAGGGGCCTGAAATGTTAGATTCTTGGGTATCTCCGTATGTGGAAGCTGAAAATGCGACAGAGGGCTGAGGTCCTGCATATTCTAGAGCTTTCCAGTCCGGCTGACGTCGTTACGAGAAGGTGAGATACAGATTGTCTCTTATCGCCAGAACAACCTGAATGTGAACAGAGCATGCCTACAAATGGAGAAAAGATTGAAGTAGGTCCCGGATTGTCCTTCGATGCTCCCGAACCTGGGCCTGTTTCAACTGCAATCCCGTTAATTTTGGATGAACGATCTTGAAAACGTATGCATGTAAGAGATCAAGAAAAAGCAAGCGTCTCACCAATTCAGTTCAGATGTAAAAAATTGTAACTATTGAATAATTATTTTGTTCGTTGTCACACGCGAAAATAGGGGTGGGAGAGGGGAGGAGAGGAAAGGGAATGGAGGGAGGGAGGAAGGCGGGAGAAGGGAAAAGTGGGGGAGGGAGGGGGGAAGGGTTTATACTTGACCTTCATGGTAAGACTGAAGGGCACTGATTTTGTCTAACAATTTCTGGGAGAGGACAACTCGGTCAAAAGCTTCCGCCGTCACCGTGATCATGCAATAATATTGATTTTCGGTCATACTAATAATTATTTTTAAAAATCCATTCTCGGCGAAAGGATATGCCATTATTAACCGTTACCTGGTCGTAGGACTGGAAATGAAATAATAGATGAATCAAAGGTAATTTAGCAAACATAGCTGTGAACCTTGTGGTGTCTATTCTTAACCGCGTGCATCATCGCTAGTGCGTGATTGCACGCAATAGATTACGATACGACACAGAATACTCTTAGAAAAAAGACTGAACTAACTCCAGTTTCCCTCCTTTTTTTCTCTGATGAGAATAAAGAGAGGGGGAAATTACTCTGATGTTTACGTCTTTTTGCTCTTCTGAACAAGAGTTCGGCTCTTTTTAAGAGCGCAAGCTACCAGGCTCAAGAAGCTTACGACCCAAGATGGCGCCGTAGCTGTAGAGTCTCGGTGAACGCTTCCTCCCAACTAATTTGAATTTCCTTCAGGCAAAGGTCACCAAAACAGATGTTTTATCACGAAATTTTCTATTTTAACATGCATACTTTTGGGCATTATCTGGTACGGGCCGAAAGAGAGGGAGGAAAATGGATGCTGAGGCGCATGTCAGACAATCTTCTGCGCTTCCTTTTCTTATTCCGCACTACCAAGATTCATAGAAAGAATCTATGGATTGATAGTATTCTACGCATGAATCCTGGCACCACCCTCCATCCTCCCACTATCTCCCACTTCCTCCCCTATCTCCACGAACGACCGTTATCTCTCCAGCATTCCACTGGCGCCACTCCCAAGTTTATTGAGATGCATGTTAAAAAAAAAAATTCGAAAATATAAAAATAAATTGTGGGGATCGACATTCAAAATTAAGTGAGCTTGTTCGATGAGGTGATGAAGTGTGACCTCTCGTCTGAGGGGAGACCCATTTCTGAGTTGCGCTAATATAGATTGGGCTGTAGTGCGTGTCTTCACCTCGTTATCAATTAACGCGGTCTGGTTTTCTCCCAAACATGTCTGCTTTCCAGACATTGTAATTTGCATGCTGACGGGGATCATATGTGCCTCACCGAATACCTCAAACGACTGAAAAAAGTTGAGTTTAGCTGGAACGGCGTACCAGAAAGCCTACCTTTTTTTTTCCTCCTTGGGGAAATCCTTTTAACCGCTCGATTATGCACATCCAAAATTTCTTGCGTTGACACAGCCGTGCTCTCGTGGTTAGCCAGTAGCCGGCTTTTATTTCACTTTTGTGACAAAAACTAAAAGAGGAAGTTAGAGTTGGAACGAAATGTTCCCTTGCAAGCTGGCACTTCCACCGTGATTCAGCATAAAGAAAAGGACAAAGTATGTGCAACTTCATTTTCGAAATTGAATCTTGAAGAAGTTAATTCCTGAATGACTGCACAAAAATCAAGGAAAATTTAATCGTCTAGACTCTAGACATTAAAGGGGAAAAGGACGTCGCGACTTTTAGTCGCTTCTTAAGACATTCCAGGAAAACGAGCCCTGAACTTAGAATCATTTTTGCATGTCCTGTATTCTACTGCGGGGCAAAGAGCGAGTTCTACTCTTCCGATTCCGAATCAGCTACTTACTCCAGTACTCTTTTAGAGCTTAAAGCATTCGGGGTAATACGACTGGCTATCAGGAACAGTCACTTCCCGCATTTATGCAGGTACCCCAACGAGACACCGAGGCCATGATTGCTGGAACCTTCTCTCAGAACCAAAAGCGATCAAGAGATGGCCCGTAGATTCCCTTGTTTTCCCAGGCCTTGTGTTATGGGTGCCCCATAGCAACTAACGTGACAGGGAAGAGAGGTCAACATTTGGTCAATGCAAATACTTCCTTGTTTGTTCTCGTGCAGCCAAGGGAGCCAGGGACTAGTGAGCTATTGTGTTGACGATGACCTGCATTGAGTAATCATTTTAAAAGGACTGGCCCCGCGGTAAAAAGCAAACTCTCAAAACCAGACCCCTGAAGGACGGAAGGGAGAAAAGGGACAAATAAAAAAAAACTTAAAAAAAAGGAGAAAGCTCCAGTGTCACTTCGGATATGGCTCCAAAACTGAAAGAAACCTAGAGATTGACGAAGACGCACGAGAGAGGTAATAAGGAAGTTGTGGTTGACCAATCAGTCCCTATTTCAAGGGGGATGTAAGTTCAGTAGCTGGAAAATCATTTCCTAGGATTCCACTTCGATCAGACTCCTCGTTCGACGTCCAATGCGGTTGATATGAATGCTGACGTTGAAGTTGAATTTATTTACATGATGGTGACAGCTCATTAGGTCTGCTCTGGTATTAACGCCGAATGTCTTCTTCTGAAAAAGAAAAAACTCTCTTCGTTCTTCAAGCTTTTGTAAAAAATGTCCGTTCTAGTCCGAAAATAAAAAAGGTCACTCTGTGTGTTCAGTGATTTTATAACCGCACTGTACTCGAAAAGATGTCCCAAGGCGACCGAGTACAAGGTGTCCCATAATTCGCTATACCATTTCAATAATTCATATCTATCAAAAAACTGGCACAAAAAAAAAGAATTAACTGAAAGAAAGCATGTCATTTGGAATAATCTTTGCCAAAAAATTAGGAATTTCTGAGTTTTCAAAGTGCCTTAACAAGCCCTCCGCCTATGTCGATACATTTGATATGAGGCTCAGTCCCAAAAAAAATCACGTAAACTCCCTCTGAACTCTGATACTCTGAAAAACTTCCATCCAGGTAGCAACTTTTCTTCGTTGCTCCAGGGTCAATTGCCAAGCCATTCCTCATGATAGGAAAAGCAAATTAAATGAGCATATTTTTTATATTCGAAAAGCCTATTTTAAATGAGAAGAAAAGAAAAAGCACACTTTTTTAAGGCAATTTTATCGATGAGGATGAAAAAACTACCATAAGTAATCCTAAAAATGTACATCCTTCTAACATGCATTTGAAGCAGTTTCCGTTTGAATCTGGTTCCAAGACATTATTGTTAAGAAAACAAATTTCTGAAGAACGTTCTTTCCATCGATGCAAACAGCAGTGACCTCCTTATAGCTGTTTGAAAAATATTGCAATTTGAAATGGTATAGTAACTTATGGGACACCCTGTATAACGAGGGCGTCCCAGATTCTAAAGCAAACCCCTTTGCCTGGAGACACCCAATAGGATGTATCAGGAACATTCGAGATGGCACAAAGTCACCTTGTACTATTACAATGCACAACCTACAACGTGGGTTAAGTGGAGGGTTAATAGGCGTACGTGACGAATCACTCGTCCCGTGAATGCGTACGTCACCTCAGGACGACTCTTATCTTATCTTTATTTGCTCCCGGCTTCCCAATTCACGTGAGGATGAGGGTTGACGGTTGTCTGCGGGTACCGTAGCCCCAAGCAACAAGTCCCTCCATGTGCACCAGTGGTTTACATCAGTCCAGCCGTTTCGTTTAAACGCTGCTTTCCCAGTAATCCTTGCAGGTGTCGTCGCCTTCTCATTAAAATTTATTTCCCAAGGTTTTTTTTTTATTATTATAAGATTCCTTAGCGTGTCTCGATTGTGGTGATGAGGTCTCAGACTCATAGAGCAGTGATGGGCGAATCTCATTTCCAGATTCAGTTCGATTCCAATTGGAAGCCAGGTTGAGAACTCCACGGGGGGAAGTAGGTGGGGACGAGGTGGTGTGACGATTCAAGCCACACGTGAAAATTTCAATAATTCAGATAGGGAGAGAAATTACAGACTAAGTGATCTGATAAGGAAGCTTTCCATGTAGCTGGAATGATGATTTTACATCCTGTCTTTGAAATCATCGCGTCCGCAACAAATAGCCACTGATTAGAAAATTGACCGTCATTTTCCTTCGCCCAGAGCCCAATACGATGAGCAAATTTCGAACAATTTTCCAGGAGTTATCGTATGATTTGAAATATGAATCCCCATAAATTAAAGGGAGATTCGAAATCAAGATTCGATTTCCCCTTGTGCGAGATTTACCTCTGATTTGCAATATCGTCTACCACTGCCATGAAAACATTGCAATTTTTCTTTCCTCCCACCAGGATTTGGGATCTGTGTCTGTCTGAAAGCAGGGACCGTTCGTACCAACTCAGGATGGGTGCATGTGTCAGCAGAACAGACTTTGAGTGGGTTTACACCGACGAGCCTCATGCCACCCGGCGAAAAGAAATCATAAGTGAGATTTTTCTGCCTGTCCATTCCTCGTGTTGCGTATTGGAATTCACGATTAATTCTTGATGATTGCAGAGAAACATCCGGAGATCAAGAAGTTGATGGGGGTGGACCCACACTTCAAGTGGATCGTGAGCCTGATGGTGATCGTGAGCATAGCCTCATTGTGGGTGGCGAAGGATCTGCCCTTCTGGCAGATGTTCCTTCTCGCCTACTGTTTCACCGGCGTCATCAACCATTCCCTTACTCTTGGTAATCATCGCTATCACCAGATGAGACATTTCTGCTTTGTCGCGGAAATATTGCTGTCATAAAGTTAATGCGTTTTATGCTTAGTTTTTCATATGTTCATCAAAAGGTTCGAAATGCAAAATAGCTACTCGTTACAGTTTAATCAGCTTTACACGTTACACAGTAATCACTTTATTCCGTGGAGGTAAAGTCGCAGTAATCACTCAAAAAATCTTTGCCTTTCTAAAGTTTTGTTGCTGCTGCTTGGTAGAAAGCAACCCAAGAAATGGTATCCTGTGCTGACTGATGAGGGGCTTCATGGCATTTTCACATCTTTCGACAGAGAGGTTAATTTTTTTTTCCTTGTCGGGAATATGAGTTTTCATCAAAATTCTCCACGGAATTACATTTTTCGTTCTTGATGCCTTGGTATCTTTTTTTGCGCAATCACTTAAAATCGTACCGATTATGCTCTACTTTATGAAACCATGTGTTATCCCTAGGCCGATTTTGATGAATTTTTCACTGCATAAGGTCTCTATATATTCCCACGAAGGAGAACATGTGTCATGTTATGATTAGACTTTTCGCTTTGTCCTTCATGCTTTCCCTAAAGCAGAGGTCGGCAACTAAATTCCACGAGGGACCGGATGGCAGAATGCTTCACGTTCGCGAGCCAGCACCTATCGAGTGTCATTAAAATGAAAATTTTATTGAACGTCTACTGTCAGACCGTAATGTCCGATACCCGGGTCTTCGCGGGCCAGAGGGAGGGTTTTCGCATGCCGCCAGTTGCCGACCACTGCCCTAAATCGTCACCTCTTCTATTAAACATGGGCACTGTTTTCGAACCCCCACAGCCATTCATGACATATCTCACAACGTGGCCTTTGGACAGTCCCGGCCCTTTACCAATAGAATGTTTGGAATATGGGCCAGTTTACCTCTAGGAGTTCACATCGGATCTGGCTTCAAAAAATATCATACGGACCATCATAAGGTCTGTTGAAGGCCTGCATAAAATTCACCTTCATAAACTCGAGCGACCGAATCAACCCTGTCGAACTGATGTCTTTTTTGCAGTTTCAAGGGGTGCACATGATTGACACCGACATTCCGACTTACACAGAAGCCCTTCTCTTTAGCACGACGTTCACGAAGGTCCTTTTCCTCTTCATCTACCCGTTTCTTTACACCCTTCGGCCTATGCTGATCAACCCGAAGAAGCCGACCTTGGACGAGGTCATCGGCCACATCGTCCAGGTTCTCTTCGACTGCGTCATCGCCTACTTCCTCGGTATGCAAGTTTCTATGACCGTGTCAGAGACCTCTCTCGTCAAGAATGAATCCATGCAATGAACGGTCGTGTTTGTACCCAAGGGATCAAGATGGTGCTTTACATGTTATTCGCCACGGCCGTGACGATGGGTCTGCATCCGATGGCGGGACACTTCATTGCGGAGCATTATTTATTTCAGAAGGGGCATGAAACCTATTCTTATTATGGCATCATCAATAAGATCATCTTCAACGCGGGATACCACATGGAGCACCATGACTTCCCTTACATTCCCGGCTCTCTATTACCAGAGGTACCTTCATTTCCAACTCCTTACGTAACACTAGTGTCATGGTCTTCGGATAAATAACAATCTCATTGGCCCGGAATATAAAAAAAAATTATGTCTAAGAAAAAGAGCAAGGACTTTTCTTCGCGCAAAATTCCGACCGTGGGAAAGTTTTGCAGAAAAAAAACTTGTTTCGTTCGATGCCCATTCGTGATCCACATGTAAACTCACGTACTTCCTTCATTTTCTGATCTACTTTTGCCATCTCACGAATTTCACATTACGATTTGAATAAGCTCCTTTACGTCCATGTTTAACCAAAACTAACCTCGCGACACCGTATTTCCGTTATTTTCGATCGCAACCACTCTCAAACTATAAATTGAACCGCAATTTTTCCCTCTTTTGCGATGGAATCCAACCGAGTAGGTAACAGAGGAAGCGATGACAGCAGAGAAGTCACAAAATAGTGCAGATCAGCATCATTTGTTTCCTAAACAGTATTATCCCTAGTGTGAACTGGAACATCCAATGCAGGCATTCCAAGCACGCATAAATGAACGAAACATGGAAACGGTCCTTGTAAAAACAACCAAGGCTTAGGCAACTGTATCCCTCACCTACCTGGGGAAAAAAAAATTGCTTTAAGAATTTTTCGGATGAAAATTTTTTTTCTATTCCTGCGTTTTTTGCGCTTTTTTTCTCATAGAATGAGGAAAAAGCGATAGACATTGCCTCTGTGAAAATGACAAGCATAAAAGGAATGCATTGGAGTTGGAGGCGTAAAACTGCTTCAAAAACAACCCCCTCAACGTTGTCAAAAGACAAGGACACTGCCTTTGTATAAATAAATAAAAGTAAATGAAGGGGAAGATGAGAAGCAGAAGATGAATGGAGTATTGATAACTTGCTTATCGAGACTCCCATGGTAAAACTCCAGCTCCCTCGAAATAATTTTTTGTTCACAACATTGCTGTGAAACAATTATATAAGGTATGTTTACAGTCGCTTTAATGGAAACTAATTTTTGCTAACTACAACTTTCTGCATATTATCGGTATTGTGCCATAGCTTATCGACGAATCAGGTTCGACATTGCATTACGAAGCACATTAACAAGTTTCCAGGAGCTAAATTGGTAACAAATCCCATTGACTCTTTCTCATTTCAGGTGAAGAAGATAGCACCCGAGTACTATGAGAATCTGCCCACTCATAAGTCCTATATCAAAGTTCTATGGGATTTTGTAATGGATCCCGATATCGGGCCCTACGCCAGGGCTTGTCGAAAAATGAAGGTACCCGAAGACTCGGAAAAGCAACGAAAGAAGCTGTGATGTTTATGTCTTTTTCTCCATGGTATGTGCGATCTGACATTTTTCTGTTCAGTCTCGTCACATTCCATCTGTCACTTGCGGAGGCCAACCATCGGGCTTGAATGCCACGAACAATCTAGTTCCTCATTTTTCTGGATATTTCAACTTCTCTCTTTTGTGCCTTCGGCAATAATTTCCTGAAATAATTGAAATAAACTTAATTCACATCAAATGTCTTTTCCACTCATTTCATTGGGACTATACAACAAGATTGAATATATTATTGTCTATATTGTCTATTGTCTATTGTCTATATTATTGTCTGTGAGATGAATTTGTTAAGCTGGATAATAAAAAAAACTGGGGTTCTATGAGCTTATAGAGGAGGAAAACCCTAACAAAAGTGGATCATGTCTCTACCTATTCTGAACAGGGCCGGCCTTAGGCATGTGCCACATGTACCCCCGCACAGGGCGCAAATTCATCAGAGGCGCCAAAACATGTCAGAATGAATGAAGCTATAATGGATGCCACCCTCAATTTCACTACAGAGACTGGGAATGTCTTCCGTTTCGGCGTCTTTTTGGACAGTAGGAATTGACCGTTCTCCCTTTGGGGGGGAAGGGGGGAGGGGGGGCTACGTTGGGAGTCTCTTTGCACAGGGCGCCGAAATAGCTAAGGCCAGTCCTGATTCTGAATGCCGTATATAGCCAGATCATAAAGGATGAGCAAAGTTAAGACAGACACAGTTCCGTTGGCAATTACGTAGAAGATGCGCAGAATCAAATTACTATTTGCGCAAGAATTATCATGAATCGCTGGACATCGGAAATGGGCTGGGCCACATCAAATTTGAAACTACTCGAAACTTTCCGCGTTTTTTTCTACCTGACGACCTGGTGACAAACTAGTTTCTATCTATCTAGAACATCCTAATATGGGAGTGGTTGAAGAGCAAAAATTACCTATTGCTCCAGCTTGCACGACTGGAGGAAGATTGTAGAGCTTGAATGTGATACGATACCTGCATTTTGCATTTTACAGTTGATGTCATAGCAGCACCCCAGGCGCCGGAAATAAGAACCCAATATATGTTCGGCACCCGAACCCCCGCAATAAAAAGGTCGAAGATGCTGTATTTATATGCTGTTCAAGCAATCTCATTTCTTTCTTATCGGCTTCTATGTTGTTCGGCTCTGCCATGCAGAGGATATTTCCTTGATGTCGAAGGGTGCCGTACCATGTTTACAGTGCGCCCGAGAGATGTAAAACAAATCAACCGCTCGCTGAAGGGCCTGCAGTGTCTATAAACGTCTAGGCTACCTAGCTACCTACCGCTTGCTACTGCCTTTGATAGCTTATTTGATATATAGACTTTGGAGGGGTCCGGGGACCTAGGGAATATTTAGACACTCTTTCTGGGGGAATGACGCGTACTTTATCTTACGTCTCTGCCGTTGGAGGAACTATGAGTCAGGGAAGGGTAGGGTAAGATTAGCTGTTGCTATCAGCACATCGGTAGCTGTTCTTCCATTTCCGGTCCATTTGACAGATTTTATTATCAGAGAATATCATGCCCCTTACAGTAATTTGCAATGAGTTCACCCACCCTTTTGATGCAAACCATTGCTTTCTATAGGCCTACTGACACCAACATAACTTAAGCTTCCTCTTATCTTACGAATATGAAGGCGGTTCAAATCTGACATAAGTTAAGCCTTTTTAAAATTATAAAATGCTGAATGTTGCACGTAGATTAAACATTTGGGGGAATTTTTCTTTGTAGTGTCCATAACCCATACTCATAATCACATGTTCCTGCTTTATTACATGTGTTGAAAATTAAGATTGTGGCAATAAAGGTATCAAAGAAGGTGGAACAGAATAATTATAGTCAACAAGAACTGTTAACATTTATTTGCTGAAGTGGCTGTGGTCTTGTAGCAATTGGTTCATTCTGTACACTTTCACATCCATCTTTAACACTTTTAGTCCCATATTCATCATCTATGAGTATAGTGCATTCAAATCCCTGGGACTGAATGTGGTAATGATTTGCAACAGTCAAACATGGATTTCATTTGCAATCATCACCATACTGGAAACACTTTCACAAATATTATTGGAATAGGACTGTCAACTCTAGAGGAGGTGGTATTATGATGTGGGGAATGACAGGTAACCAAGGTATCAATAACTTGAACTAGTGCAAGGAGGATATAAAAACAATAATATTGTCTGCTGATTGAGGATTGCACCTTTCCCACCATGCAGCAACTCTTCCCTGGAGTTGGTGAGCCACTTTAAGCATGATTCCACTCCAGCAAAAAATTCCAGGTGATTCAGGACCAAGCTGGAGGAGGCTGTCATTGATGTCCAACATTGTTGGAGCAAATTGAATATATGAAACCAATGAAGCATGTCTGAGATGTTTTCTGTGAAGGAACCACGAAAAAATAGTAGGAATAGCAAAAAGCTGGTTGAAGCTTTTAGCGATATTTGGAATGATATTACAATTGCTTATCTGCAGTTAATGCTTCTGGTATGCCAAGGCATGTGAATTCTCTTTTTGAAGTTAGAGAGGGACACCACCCCTTCTTAGGCTACATTGTATTCCGTTTTATTGTCATGATGATGAGATTGCAGTAAATTATGAAACTGAGTTGCATGTGTTATTTTACAATTTACTAGTGAGGTTTATCTCTCATCTAGGCATACATCTAAGGACCAAGAGTTAAGCTTGAATGTAGTTTTTGCAGACAGAAACTTTTATTTGGCCAGTAGTGTATGTTCATCCATCCAGACTTCAAGAGTGGGCCTTGTCTTCAATGTAAATAACTTATGCCCTGATTGGATCATGGTTTCAATCAGACTAACTTAAAGTTTTTTATGTGCATTTGGCCCATTGAAGGCCTGGTTTCATAGCTTGGGCCAATTGTGCAACCATCAACAGGTAGCAGACATGTTTTTAGGTTGAATCCAGACTTGATTCCAGCAAAATGGGTGCCCGTGTCTCCAGAACAGATTTTGAATGGTCCTATACTGCTGAACCTCATGCTACCCGGAGAAAAGAAATACTCAGTGAGTTAAACTTATATGCTATTTGAAATTGGATGTAGTCAGAGTAGTTTTCTGTTGTGACCTCTCAAAAGGAATTTTAATATTTTTAATTGGAAAATGTGAGTTAAAGAGTATCATTAACAGTTAAGCATGTACCCCAAAGAGAAAACGTGTTGCATGTTTCCAGATGAATTCTATTGGAAAGATGCAATGTTTATTGAAATTCCTTTTTATTTATTATAAACACCAACCTAACTTGTCCGAGCCTAACTTTAGGGGGAACACACTATCTCTAGGAGGTATGCACTTAACCAGCACTGAGTACTGGTATCAGTTAGGTCTATTGGTATGTTAATGTGTTCTCTACCAGGTGTTGGGTGCATGTGACATTGAGAATGTCTTCATGTTGCCCTTGGTAGTAATTCCATGTGTGGTAAGATTGAAGATTCAAGTAATGTTAGCGATGGGAATCTTTACAAGAATCAGTCACAAATTCTCCAGTTGTGAAAAACCCATGCAAAAAATTAACTTGGAAATATGCATTCTAGTTGGATGTCCTTATCAAAATGGGCATCTCACTGGAATGTATCTTTCAATCCAAAGAAAATGACACTTCTTGTATTATTCTGCAAGAAAGAACCTTCTCCCTGCATGTACTTCTTTGCCATTATAATTCTGTGAAGTTTATTGGATTCACTTTTGCTTGCCAACTCCCTTGGGATGCTCTTTTACACAATGTTTCATAGCCTGCATCCTGCTCCCTTTGCATAGCATTCTAGTAGTTCCCTACAAATATGCCATTAGCAATGCCTAGGTTTACAGTGAGATTTGAGAGTTGGCAAGAAGATATCTGAACATCGCTGTGGGAACTCTGTTCTTCAAACTAAAGTCTATTTTTATTGGACCCCGTCATCTTCAATTGTACAGAGGTGTCCTTCATTTATTCAGTTTCTGGTTTATTCAGGTGGAACACAGATGCAGCCATGTGATCAACATTCATTTTTCCATTAACCTTTTAACTGCTATTGATGCAATATCATATCAGTGAAAAAAAATGCCCTCATTACTATTGACATGGATGTATGTTTTGAGTTTCTCTTGTTACATCTGCCCTTTCATATATGTGATTGATATGAGACTTGAAATGAATTCTATCAACTATTGAGTATTTTGTGGTACTACATACTGTCTGTTGAAAAAACTGCCCAGGGTTCAAACTACCTGCAAAAAATTTTGTAAGACGTCCAAAAGGCAATTTGGGCTGGTATGTTACTGCGCAAGAAAACTGGTCTTGTGGTCGCTGGTCACGTGGAGCAAAAATCTCAGCTCTTTATATTAAGTGGTGAACATTGTCTTCATGTGGATTTGCTGCATGCAAGACCTTTTGCATGCCTTTGGAGAAGTTTTCTATTGCTATGGAGAGGTTGGTAACCTTATTTCAAGATCCTGTAGCAGTTTGTGTTGGAGAGCATTTGCACTGTTTTTTTTTTTTTACAGCAATGGAGCCCAATAATGAGTTTTCTATTTCTGTCCATATTTTAGGCCAACCTCAAGAAGAGTAAATAAAATTTTGGCTAAATTGGTTTGGAAATGAATTTGTAGCAAATTTTGTATTGTGTATTGTAATTTCTGTGGTGTAGCCATAGGGTGAGAGTGAAGGTATATATCTTCTGATAGAAGTAACATTAAATTTATGTTAAAGGTTGTACTAATTCATTAACTAATTACTATATTGTCTGTGTCCATGTCTATGATGTCTAGGTGAGTAGGCTAAACACAATGTCTCTTGTTCTTTCACAAGGATTACTGCAACTTCTAACATAAAAAGACATTGCCTCCTATTTGTAAGCATCTAAGCCATTATTTATCTGTACTTTGCCTTAGAAAGCTTATTTAGATTATCTACTGATAGTTTATGCCATGAACCTAATTTCTTTCAGAAAAGCATCCAGAAATCAAGGAGCTCATGGGACCTGATTCAAAATCAAAATGGATCATCACTGGGATGGTGCTCTTCCAAATTCTGTCCCTCTTTATTGTCAAGGACTTGGGAAATATGTGGCTGTTCCTTGCTGCATATTGCATTGGTGGAACTATCAACCATTCATTGATGCTGGGTATCTTACTCAATCCTGTTAAGTGCATAAATAAGTGCTTAAGAAGCATACATTTATTAACCCTATAACTACCAGAACCCAAATGGTCTTTGTTTCATCTCTTCGTTCCCAAAGACTCACTTCAAAATGCTTTGCCTAATTACTATTACATGCCTTCATAAAAATGCATAGTATATCAGATTTTTCAAGTTCACAGCATGGCTTACACAAATGGCTAGAGTTTTGTATCAGTCCATTGAACCCAGAACAGTAGTTATAGGGTTAAAAGAATTGAAGTCAGTGAATCACTCACAAGGCTGATATGAAATTATATTTTGCATAAGTTTCTATATTCTTTTTCAGCCATCCATGAAATCTCTCACAATCTGATCTTTGGGCATACATATCCAGTAGCTAATCGATTATTTGGAATATTTGCCAATCTGCCTATTGGGGTTCCTTTTTCCCCAGCCTTCAAGAAGTATCACATTGAGCATCATAAAGTAAGTCACCATCTAGTAGTTGCTTTCATTATTTCATCCCTTCAGTATCTTAACTAATTAAATTATTCTTTCCAGTATCAAGGAGATGAGAAGCTGGACACAGACATTCCAACAAAGTTGGAGGCCATACTTTTCAATCGCACAGCCACCAAGTTTATTTGGTTATTCCTTCAGCCTTTATTCTATGCCCTTCGTCCTGTCATTGTGTATCCAAAGGCAATTACTCCCCTTGAGATTGCTTGCATCATCATCCAGTTTTCTTTTGATGCAATGGTGGTTCATTTCTTTGGTGAGTTTCTTGTTCCTGTATTATACAGGGTGTCCCACTCGAAACTGACCCTTTAAAATTGCGAATAAGTCGGGAACGCGTAAACGTAAAGACAAGCTGTAAAAAGCTGAACATACCTTATTTAGTGTCAAACAAATCCACATTACAGCAGGTGTTGAAAGTGTCCTCCCCCGACGTCCACACACAATTCAACGCGACGCTGCATATTTGCGAATGTCCTGCGCAGCATGTCACTGTCGATGGCAGCAATTTCACGCTGGATGTTTTCTTTCAGTTGTCCGATAGTCCTCGGTTTGTTCGCATAAACCTTGCCTTTCAAATGTCCCCACAGGAAGAAATCTGGCGGAGTTAAATCGGGCAATCTCGGTGGCCACAAACCTTTCGAGATGACCCTATCTTCAAAAAACGCCTGGATCTCTTCCATACTGGCATTCGACGTATGGCACGTCGCTCCGTCCTGTTGAAAGTAACCTTCCTGAAGTTCATCGATCTCGGTGGCCACAAACCTTTCGAGATGACCCTATCTCCAAAAAACGCCTGGATCTCTTCCATACTGGCATTCGACGTATGGCACGTCGCTCCGTCCTGTTGAAAGTAACCTTCCTGAAGTTCATAATCGTCCAGTTGATTCACAAATTCAGTAAATATGGACAAATATCGGTTGGTATTCACAGTGTCTTCAAAGAAAATTGGACCAATAATGCGAGAACGGGAGATCGCACACCACACTCCAATCTTCTGGTCATGTAAGAACGACTCGTTTAAGCCATGGGGATTTTCTGTGGCCCATATACGGGTGTTTTGCGAGTTCAGGTACCCAGACAGATGAAACCATGCTTCATCAGTAAACCAAGTGATGTCGAGGAGAAATGAATTGATTGCGAAAAATTGGAGGAACCATTGGCAATATGCAACACGTTTTTGAAGATCCGGTGCCTTTAGCTCCTGAACTGCCGTGACGCGGTAAGGCTTAATTTTCCCTTTTTTGGCGGCTTGCTGACAGGTGGAACGTGAGTACTCGGTTTCTTGTGCCAAACGACGTAATGATTTTCGTGGAGAACGTTGCATTGCCAGGAAGTGTAGAACGTGTCAGAGTAGTGCCATCGCAGGTCGTCCTCCAGAATGCACATTCAGCAGGCTTCTCGTGGTTTCCAACTTTTTTGACAATGTTTTAATGGTGTTCTTGCAAGGGACGCTTCTTCCTCCAAATTTCTTCCGGTATTCTTTCTGACATTGGGTTATTGACCCGGTGATCCAGTAGGTTTTCACAATCAACACTTTCTCTGCTACGGTGTACCGCATCGTTGCTTTCTGCACGGTGTGTAAGGAAATAAGGCAGGCAGACTGGGGCGCAGCCAGCCGACTGCGCCGCTGTGGCGCCCACCACCCTTTCCCGTCTTTATNGACTCGTGTAAGCCATGGGGATTTTCTGTGGCCCATATACGGGTGTTTTGCGAGTTCAGGTACCCAGACAGATGAAACCATGCTTCATCAGTAAACCAAGTGATGTCGAGGAGAAATGAATTGATTGCGAAAAATTGGAGGAACCATTGGCAATATGCAACACGTTTTTGAAGATCCGGTGCCTTTAGCTCCTGAACTGCCGTGACGCGGTAAGGCTTAATTTTCCCTTTTTTGGCGGCTCGCTGACAGGTGGAACGTGAGTACTCGGTTTCTTGTGCCAAACGACGTAATGATTTTCGTGGAGAACGTTGCAAACGGTCCTTCACATCTTGCACAGTCTCATCAGCCATCGCAGGTCGTCCTCCAGAATGCACATTCAGCAGGCTTCCCGTGGTTTCCAACTTTTTTGACAATGTTTTAATGGTGTTCTTGCAAGGGACGCTTCTTCCTCCAAATTTCTTCCGGTATTCTTTCTGACATTGGGTTATTGACCCGGTGATCCAGTAGGTTTTCACAATCAACACTTTCTCTGCTACGGTGTACCGCATCGTTGCTTTCTGCACGGTGTGTAAGGAAATAAGGCAGGCAGACTGGGGCGCAGCCAGCCGACTGCGCCGCTGTGGCGCCCACCACCCTTTCCCGTCTTTATAACATGCAATTGATGCTACATGAAATGAGGAACATTTTGAGCCCTGTACCGTGTTTATACGTTTACGCGTTCCCGACTTATTCGCAATTATATAGGGTCAGTTTCGAGTGGGACACCCTGTATTAATGGGTGCTGATGATTGTAGACCAATAGAAGTTAGACACTATGAGAAGTTAATAAACATTTGAAACCACCTTCCTTACAGCAATGAATTTAGTTTCTCTTGATAATAAAATTCAGATGAAACTATGTGTCTGCCAAACACAGGGCACTTCAGTGAGCTTCATGAATTTATCAAAATATGTTTGAACTCATTCTGAAATTACTCCATGTGACTGAACTATGTTTAGTATTGAAACTTGGTTTTTAAAGAGGCCTTCAAGGTTGGGGGAGGGGAGATGGTACTTGGGATGAATATACATGGAGATGTTGGTGTGAGGAATTGTATGATTCTTTTTTCCATGTGTGTCCAAATTATTGAAGAAGTACTCCAAGAATGAAATCAGAATTTCAGTGGAATGAAATCATCAATGGTTGCTTTCTCTTCAATTTGCTATACTATATGGAGAATATAATTTAGCCTGTTTCTGCAGAAAACAAGTAAGCTGTAGAAGTGTTGATTAACCCTTTCACTGGCATTAGCATCTCCTGACACTCAAGAGTTGCTAATTCTTCCTTCAATAATACCTACAGGTTGAGGTTGAAGATTTAAATTTTGTCTGCCAGTAGAAGAGAAAAGTTCAAACATGAAGTATGCTGTCTGCCATAATTCTTGCTTATTCCCTGACCCTGAATGAAATAGGTAACATTGAAAATGAGAAGTGAGGGTCTGTAGAATTGAGTAATCTCATGCTCCATAGTAAACTTTTCTGGTTTCAATTTTGGGGACTCAATGAGTGTTATATTTGTGATTTGTAAGAAAAAAAAGAATGTGCAAGTCATATTGGTAACCTAAGCAAAAAAAATCCTAGGATTACCCAGAGATAAAGAATAGTGCACCCAGAATCTCAGATGACCATGTCTCAAGTCAGAAGCCATGGAAGCTTAGTTTTATTTACTCATGAAAAAGGCCTTCATGGGAAAAAAAATAAAATGAGAACAGAAGAGAAATCTGGTAATTCTTTCATTCCTATTTTAACTACTTGCAATAAGTATTGACATTCTGTGATGGGATTTCTTTCATGTTTCTCTATAAGTGAAACTGACAGAATCCTATTCTCAAAGACTAACATACTAAAATCTAGCTTATTTCTGCCCTTCAGGATGGAGAATTTTGGCATATTTGATTGGTGGAAGTCTTTTGGCCATGGGTGTTCATCCTGTTGCTGGCCATTTTGTATCTGAGCACTATATGTTCAAAAAAGGATATGAAACATATAGCTATTATGGCCCTCTGAATTGGATCACTTTCAATGTGGGATACCACAATGAACATCATGACTTCCCCTATGTTGCTGGCTCAAGGCTTCCAGATGTGAGTTTCATCTGCATCTCCTTGTCATCCTTCCATGTGTGGTTCTGTTGCTGATGAATTTCTTTACTTTGTCATAACAGGTGAAGCGGATTGCACCAGAATTTTATGATGATCTGCCACAACATAACTCTTGGGTTAAGGTCCTATATGATTTTGTCTTTGATCCTGAAATTGGTCCATATGCCAGAATCAAGAGGAAACACAAGGACTTAGATTGAATTCCCATATCTTAGTGCTTATGTTCCTATGCTTTTTTCTTCTTCTCATATGTTTATTTGAAGTTTCTGTGATGCTAAGCATGAGGGTTCTCTCAACTATTTCAACTTCCTCTGTAGCCTGATGTGCTACAAGGATGGGTTAATCTCAAACCTAGTCGGCTAATGTTAAAAAGAAAGAAGTTGCGTTAGTTTTTTTTTTATTCATGACATTTTTGTCTGATGGCTCTACCTTTAATGAAATGTCTGTTGTCTGTTAGTATATGCATTACTTTTATCCATTTAGTGCCAATGGTAATTATGAGAAGTTAATGTGATCTATTGAAATTGAATCTTGTTACTTTCACAATAAGAATGGAGAATAACCTTTACTCTGTTGGTTATTGAGTAGTAATTCATGTTTCTTACACATGAATGTGTTTAGTTTGCATGAGGAAGGGTGAGGATTTTGCATTAGTGTCACAAGTTTCTGTGCTTCATGTGCTAATAAAAAGTGAGAGCCCTAGGCTCCTAACTGAAAACTGAATCACAACAAGGAGGACTTCATTCGAGGGAAACTGGAAAAAGGCAGAACTGGTTGAATTTTCAAAATTCATGAATGCTGCTCTAATAGGTTGAACTTAAGCACTGTGATATACCTGTGAATCTATCTTGCATTGCAGGTAAATTGAAAGTATTCATTGAAATGTAAACTTACCAAGTGGCATCAAAGGATTAAAAGGTAGGATTTATGTCCAAGTACATACATCTTGAGAGGAAACAAGAAAGTCTCTCAGTATTCCAGTAGCTTGAATGTTTTGAGCTTATTTCGATTAAGTTGATTGAATACATTTGAGAGAACTCTTTATGGAATTTTTTAATTGAATTTGTTGCCTTGCATAAGATCTTTGTTGATTCAGAGAGTGTTCACATAATTTGACGATCTTGGAACTTCCAATATTCTTGCTATGCTACCTTAGGTGCAAGAATGTATCTATTTTCATGTCATGCTTGTTTCTTGTCTATATGGTTTTGCTTCCCTGAGTAATGAGGTCATTTAGGAAAATGTTTATGTCTTCCCTTAGGAATGGAAATTGTACTTTCAGCTAAAATTTATTTTACTGCCAGTGTGAAGTAATGAGACATTGATAACACCCCCTTTATATGGACTAATGGATATGTGCATGGCCATTGTGCATAAAAGGGAAAGAACTTATCCATAAAATATTCTGTGGACAGTAGCCCATTTTTTCTGCCTCTTTTGTGCTCTCAGTTGCAGTGACAAGTTTTCAATAGTTCAAAATATGCATGCTCATTGCATTAAGTACATTCATCTTCTGTTGGCTTAATTTATCCATTCATTGCATATTTGAGCATGTAAAGGTCCCTTCCTGGACCTTCAAATTTTAAACTTATGCATGAATTTGTCAGAATGGAGGAGGAAGGTCAGGTCTCTATTATAGAAATCAGCATTATTCCTGCCTTTCATTTTTGTTACCAATAAGTGCATTTATGTGAAACATGAGTAAGGTTGGGGATTCTTCTATGCCTTTGTGCCTTCTGACCTGCTTTGGCTTGCAGGGGAAGATTGCATGGGAAAGGAACATTTGCAGGTATGATTTATAAATTAAAAAAAATACATGTAAACCTATTGGACTTCAACAATGAATGAAACTTGCAATTTTCAGCTTTTTTTTCACTGCAGTGTTTTATTTCAAATTCACTCAAAAGTGCTCAGTAGTTCATGTCATTCTGTGCTGTTCCCTCATAATTTCTGGCCACCAAGATAGTATCTCAGTACCCAAGCTTCTCATTGAGACTCGTCCTACCATCGCCAGATTGGTTTTCAGGAGGTAGCCAGAGGTGGTAGTCAGGATTAGTGTCATCATATTCACACTTTTCAGGTCTCTCATCCTCCTTCAGCTGTTTTTCCACCTGCAAGGTAGTAAGTTGTCAGATAGCTTTGGGGAAACAAAAGAATACACTCTAATTAAATCCCATACCTCTACTAATGGATCTTGCTTAGACTCTGGAGCTGGAGGCAATTGGGGTCCTTTGATCACAGATTTACTCTCTCTTGTAGTTCTTGAGCCAGTATCTTCTGGAGCTGAATCAGGACATTTCACTTTGGACCCTTTTTTTGCTTCAGGTTGTGACATATGAAGACTCTCCTTCCCAGACTTGTTTGAATTTGTTATCAGTATTGACTTTGCCTCAGTTACTTCATCATTATCTTCCGCTTGTTCATTGCACTGATCATCTATGTTCTTGAAACTACCAGTTGGTAAGAACATCTATAACAATAATGAGAGGAAACAATAATTCTAATTATAGCTGGGAAGATGATTTCAGCACAGTTGCCTTGAAGGTGACAATAGCTATAAGGATGAACTTGCTTTTTGCTGAGTTTCTTGGCTCTTATGGAATCCTTTCATTGACCCAGTTGTGGAAAGAAATGGATTCCTTTTGCCTTGAGAAGTAGAAATGGTGACTACTGGTGGAAGGATAGTTGGTTTGGCTATTTCTTGTAAACGTTTCAGTCGCTCTTCTTCTAACTTAAGGCTACCCAACTTTACCTGAAACACAAACTGCTTTGAATGTCCCACTCTATGCTGAAAGTGTTTTAACCTCTTAAATGGGGAATTTCTCTTACAGAAATCCACCCCATAGAGGGGAGGGGCCTTTTTTTTTTTATAGAGTATTTGCATTTGTGTTTAAAATGTACTCCTTTTTTCGACTGGTAAATTTCATGTAAATAGTACTTCATGTTCTCTTGTAACTTCTACTTCTGTATTTCCTTCTCTAACCCTTGAATTTTGGGTTTCAATCTCACATTTAACTCAGGTTGTGACATATGAAGACTCTCCTTCCCAGACTTGCTATCAAAAAATAGTGTAATGCATATACATGGTGAGCCAAAAAAAAAGCTGTCATTTTTGGTAAGTCATCAATCTCATTTTAGGTTGCAGATTCAGATTAAATTTTTTAGGCTTATAGGGTGACACAATGGGAGTTTTTATGCCAAATTTCAACTTTCTGACTTAAAAATTATAGGAGCTGTAATTATTTTCTGATGACCCATGACAAAATGTGCTTTCGAAAATATCAATATGAACTTGAAGCCGATGAACAGGAAGACCAAATTTATGACCTTCCATTTCTGCATGATGCTATAGAGGAAAATTGGGAGGCACTGCCTCAAAAACTTGACTGAGCCATTGATTTGTGGTGTCCTAGACTAGAGGCTTGCCCACATGAAAATTCCATATATGACAGGGTGTATGATTCTATATGGTCATGAATGATCATATATTTTACCTGCATTCCAATATTAAGTCTGATGGGAAAATGGCATCATGTCTGATATATGGTGAATATCCATAGACAAGTCTTATGGTTGTAAGTAAAACATGGCATGAGGTAAGTGGTGTGTTTTGGCTGAAGAGTCAGGGGGGACAGGGCAACAGAGTGGGGACACCAAACCCTGTCCCTGGGATCCCGAGGGGGGGGCAGCTGCACCCCCTGCCCCCTCCCTGGAAAATATGCCACTGCATGAGGTTGTTACACATGAGGGCAATTGACCTTCAGATGCCTCTGTAACTAATTTTTAATGCACCCATTATATTTTACATGAAATATTAGCTATGTATAACCTTTAAAGTAATTTGCCAAAAGTTTGATTTTGAACCCCCAACTGAAAATCCAGGTTGAAAAAGGCTAAATTTCCAGCTGGACCCCAGTTGGAAATTCAGACCCATTACTTCCATACTTTCCAGCTGGGTAGCAGCTGGAAAGTAAAGTCAGATCCAGATTGTTCCTAATTGCAGTACATTGGTGGAATGAGAATGTTTTTGTTAGCTATTCTTGCTGGAGGTCCATCTATAGAAGCAGCTGAATTTCAACTGTAAATTCAGCTGTATTCCAACTGAAGGGTCCTTGAATAAAATGGTCTTGGGAAATGGTCAGAATATACAGCTTCTGTTCACCTGGAAATTTCCAGTCAGGGTTTCAAACTGGACCCTACCCTCTCCAGGTAGTATAAGTGTATTGAGGATGAAAAAAGTGCAGGAGGAGGGGGGGCACAAGAACTCTGGGACACTGTTATCATGCATTTCATGCATCTTTTTCTTTATACTAATGTGTTTTTTGTTGTTAAGCGNATGCATGAATTTGTCAGAATGGAGGAGGAAGGTCAGGTCTCTATTATAGAAATCAGCATTATTCCTGCCTTTCATTTTTGTTACCAATAAGTGCATTTATGTGAAACATGAGTAAGGTTGGGGATTCTTCTATGCCTTTGTGCCTTCTGACCTGCTTTGGCTTGCAGGGGAAAATTGCATGGGAAAGGAACATTTGCAGGTATGATTTATAAATTAAAAAAAATACATGTAAACCTGTTGGACTTCAACAATGAATTAAACTTGCAATTTTCAGCTTTTTTTTCACTGCAGTGTTTTATTTCAAATTCACTCAAAAGTGCTCAGTAGTTCATGTCATTCTGTGCTGTTCCCTCATAATTTCTGGCCACCAAGATAGTATCTCAGTACCCAAGCTTCTCATTGAGACTCGTCCTACCATCGCCAGATTGGTTTTCAGGAGGTAGCCAGAGGTGGTAGTCAGGATTAGTGTCATCATATTCACACTTTTCAGGTCTCTCATCCTCCTTCAGCTGTTTTTCCACCTGCAAGGTAGTAAGTTGTCAGATAGCTTTGGGGAAACAAAAGAATACACTCTAATTAAATCCCATACCTCTACTAATGGATCTTGCTTAGACTCTGGAGCTGGAGGCAATTGGGGTCCTTTGATCACAGATTTACTCTCTCTTGTAGTTCTTGAGCCAGTATCTTCTGGAGCTGAATCAGGACATTTCACTTTGGACCCTTTTTTTGCTTCAGGTTGTGACATATGAAGACTCTCCTTCCCAGACTTGTTTGAATTTGTTATCAGTATTGACTTTGCCTCAGTTACTTCATCATTATCTTCTGCTTGTTCATTGCACTGATCATCTATGTTCTTGAAACTACCAGTTGGTAAGGACATCTATAACAATAATGAGAGGAAACAATAATTTAACTATAGCTGGGAAGATGATTTCAGCACAGTTGCCTTGAAGGTGACAATAGCTATAAGGATGAACTTGCTTTTTGCTGAGTTTCTTGGCTCTTATGGAATCCTTTCATTGACCCAGTTGTGGAAAGGAATGGATTCCTTTTGCCTTGAGAAGTAGAAATGGTGACTACTGGTGGAAGGATAGTTGGTTTGGCTATTTCTTGTAAACGTTTCAGTCGCTCTTCTTCTAACTTAAGGCTACCCAACTTTACCTGAAACACAAACTGCTTTGAATGTCCCACTCTATGCTGAAAGTGTTTTAACCTCTTAAATGGGGAATTTCTCTTACAGAAATCCACCCCATAGAGGGGAGGGGCCTTTTTTTTTTATAGAGTATTTGCATTTGTGTTTAAAATATACTCCTTTTTTCGACTGGTAAATTTCATGTAAATAGTACTTCATGTTCTCTTGTAACTTCTACTTCTGTATTTCCTTAAAAATTATAGGAGCTGTAATTATTTTCTGATGACCCATGACAAAATGTGCTTTCGAAAATATCAATATGAACTTGAAGCCGATGAACGGGAAGACCAAATTTATGACCTACCATTCCTGCATGATGCTATAGAGGAAAATTGGGAGGCACTGCCTCAAAAACTTATTGACTGAGCCATTGATTTGTGGTGTCCTAGACTAGAGGCTTGCCCACATGAAAATTCCATGTATGACAGGGTGTATGATTCTATATGGTCATGAATGATCATATATTTTACCTGCATTCCAATATTAAGTCTGATGGGAAAATGGCATCATGTCTGATATATGGTGAATATCCATAGACAAGTCTTATTGGCACACAGAATCATAGAGGTAATGATTTTGATGAAAAAAATCAAGACATTCGACCCCATATGTCACGTATGTCAATGGGGACGTAATTTAAATACGTGTTTCCCATTTCGCAAAAAATGAATGAATCAATATCCAAGGTAAGGGAGTACCGAAGGCGTGACCAGTTAGTTAGTTTAGAATGAGCACTTCGTTTCCTTTGTGGCTTTTGACGAATTCAGCCATGATCTTGAATTCCTGATTGAAATCCTGACTGACTGAGGTGAGGCATCTGCACACTTTTATTGGGACATAGATGCAGAGATACCTTTAGCCTCGAAAGTCTACCGTGGGTTAAGGATTAATGGGGATTAGAAAGAGGAACTAGCAGGCATCACTTGAAGTGAAATGAATAGCAACAATACACCATAATTATATATTATCTGTTTGCAAATGCTCCAGACAACAGCATATTACTTTCTTCCCTATACTCCACAAGGGGCATGAGGGAATTGTCAATCAATACTTGAATTGGGGCCAGTCTGAAACACTAAAGATTTTCTCACGTGATCCTCAGTAGGGCACTCTACCATTCAGCCTTCCTCCTGATCAGTGCGCCTCTATCTCCGAGATAATTGTAGGTGACCGGGCATTCTCATGTCAAACTTTGCACGTCACACTTCAATTATCCCATTGCCATCGGAGTGTCCCCAAAGGATCGGTCAATTAGCTATATAATTCTACATACCTGATCTGATATCAAATTACCTGTTTCCCACATTTTCCTGTACATTCCTGGTAACAATCCTACTTTCATTGATCCAGTGTTACATTCTAGAATGTATACCTTGGAAATTTTCTTCCTTATGTTCATGTGTTATTAAGTTGATCATCATTTATATATTTAATGTATTCAACAGTAATACATTATCTTTGAAAAATAGTATGGATTTGTTTTGCCAAATAAGAAAAGAACCCGTAAGAGATACTTGGAAATATTACTCAAGTGGGTATTTGCACGTACTTTGCAGGTATGGGCTTTCTCTGTGGGTGCTTTTCGTATATTTGATAGAGAATATGGAATTCGAAGTTCCGTCCATTCAAGATTCTGTCCACATACCACACTGAGCACCTTCTCAGTTGAAATGAACCTACCTAAACCAAATTGTGTGCCTTCGTTTTTGCATTTGTGCATTTTGTTTTTGTCAGTTATGAGAATGATTAAGTTCAAAGAAATCATGAACACTTACTATTTTGTGATGAAAAGTAAATTGCCTTTCTCACAGTTTTTGAAATTTTGATTT